CTTCTATCCTAGGGTTCTTGCCTTTAGCTGGCTTTTGTCCTGAGTGCGCAGGCCTGACAATCAAGACAATAGCCCTGCACGCTTCTTAGATTCCCTTCTGATGCAGGGGTCCGAGCACTTAGATATAACATTCCCCCTTGCAGTCGTTGTACAAGAATGCTGCTACCATGGACCCCACAGCTCTGCGCTTGTCATTGAGTCATCATTAAAGCCCTGCATTCAGTGCTGTAAACCTCATCTCCGATATAAGTCCCCCTAATTTATGGTGCCTTCATATGAGAATCGGGCTTTGGGGTTTCCATCTGAGAACCATCTGGGGACGATAAGGAAAGTTGATTCAACTATCTAAATCATTCTTACTTGGACCTCTATATTGTGCCCTAGTCATAGTCAGTTGGGCTGAGATCCTAAGCACAGCAAACAGCCGCTACTTGCCAACTCCCTGAACCTTTCCGAGTAAGTCCACTGTAAAACCCAACAGGCCCGTAAGCCGACCCTCTCTCCCTAACCCGGTTTAGGGCTTAGCGGGTTTAGCCTAAACCCCTTAAGCTCTTTCACAACCGGACTCTCACGAATGCCAGCCGATATGAAAGCATAAACCCTAAACCCAAGACCCTCTCGCCCTGCTCCTGCGCCATGGCTGCCAGGGCATCGGCACCCCATTGCCAAGTGACCTTCCGTTCCGTGACGTCGGACACTACGAGAAGCGATCCGCCCCCTGCTACTTATCATGAATATTGGCACGAGTATAATGTAGGGCCTTAACAATTAGAATAGGGTTTTGGGGGTTCCTTTAAAGGGTTCCTTAAAGGGTTATAAGGGCTACTAGAAGGGTTTAGAGTGTAGGGGCCTTTATAATTAGAATAGGGTTTTGGGGTCCATGACACTATAATTTCAATAAGGAGCCGCCAAAATAGTATTGGTACTTATTGAGGCCGCCATAGTAGTACACTTCCACAAGACTCTAAGGGGATACTGTTACTCATCATTCTTACTCATCCTACGCCCTGTAGAAACCTATAGTGAACCAGCAATTTTTCAGTCCCTATACTTGCGAATTCAAAGCCCCGAAAACCATTGCAAGACCCTGACTATTGTTCAGACCCCTATAACTACCCTCTGACTGCAAGCGCAGACAAACAATGCATGCTCTGGGGACTAAAGTCCATACAGAATACCTGCTTTGAGCTATTTGGAATGCTATGTATGTGACCCTACTTGGAGGTTCATGGGTAGTTATAAGTGGGGTTACAAGTCCCCTAATATGGGTTATAATTATAGTTACCATACTTATAACCATACTTAAAACTACCCATGAACCTCCAAGTACACCATGAAAAAACCCAAACCCGGAATCCAACTCTGAACCATGTGTCCGAAGGCCGGCCTGCTCAACGCTGGAGCGCAAGCATGTCGCTTCGGGCGTCAAGCCTCTAAGGCCCGAGAAATGCATTCCGGGAGAAGTTAGGGTTCAGGATTTAGGGATAAGGGTTTCGGATTTAGGGTACTGCCATGGGGGCCACATGCTGTCCGTCCGAAGCATGCACCATGCCAAGCAGCCGGGTTGATGAATGACCGCTTCCTCAACCTTAGCGCCGCTTTGAACGACTGTCTTGCTTTCAGGGACTTGAAGGCCTAGGGTTGCTTTAGGGATTGGGAGTTGAGGTTTTAGAGCTGATGTAGGAGTTGAATCAGGGGCTTTGGGCTTAAGTCTAAGAGGGATTTTAGGCTTTTACCGTTTAGGGCTGTATGATTTATGATGTCAAGCTGTTTGGGCTGTCGCAGCGCACTCAAACGTCGGCTGCAAGACTTGATTCAGGGTTTAAGTTTCGAAGCGTCACTGCGGGGCTTGCAGATGTACAAATACCGAACATGATCCCAAACAGCCTGGAAATGCAAACACACGGCTCATACCAGCCAAATACTTTCTACCCTCAACTTCGCAAGTCAGACTCATGGCCCACTTATGGCCATATGGTGACAGCTTCTCCCGAGCATGTCAGGCAACTCATAACTCTGAATACGGATCCCTCAGAAACTTCAACTCCTACAGCCCGAACGATAAAAACATCGAAACCCAAAACCCAAAACGAATCCTGAACTCCTAGAGCCCTACAAAGGCCCTCCCCAAAACCCAAACGAACCCTGAACTCCTAAAGGCCTTAAAAAGTAAAACAACAAGTTCGAACACATCCTGCCGAGGTGTCTATACCGCTCAAGTTTGAGCCCAGTCGCATCCCCAGGCACGTCCGTGCGAAGGCCTGGCTCTAAAGAACAAGTCCACGGTTGCGATACATGCGAGTTTGGAAGCTCTGACGGTGCACCCGAAACTTCTTGAAGGGGCTCCTTTATTTAAGGGTTCCTTAGAGGGCTCCTTTAAAGTGGTGCGCCCGGTCCACCCCCTTGACGGCGAACACCGCTTGCTGAAGGAGCTGTGGGTGCGGCCCTGACAGGAAACCACAGGGGATGGGCAAGAGATAGAAAACTTCCGAAAGCCTAAACCTTAACCTCAAAGCCTTGAGGTCTAAAACCCCGAAAGTAAAGGTGATGCCTCGGGGATTTGTGACAGGCGCTGGGCGAGGAGGGAGCCTGCGAAGGGCTCGGTAGCCTCGGGCACAAACACTTTGCGAAGAAAAGTTAGGGTTTAGGGTTTAGGGTTTAGGGTTTAGGGTTTAGGGTTTAGGTTTAGGGATCGTGGGTTTATGCGAACAGTTTGATGGATTCTTGGGTTTAGGGGTTAGGGACTCGCACACTCGCACTGGGCTGGCACGGCCAGTTTGGTCGTTCTTGGGTTTGGGTCTCAAGGTTCCTGGGCTTGAGGATCTCTATAGTATATCAGTATATTGTCGGATAATATGGAGTATGATAGAATACTGACTTTCAAGATTCCAGGATTTAGGGTTGGGGATTCCTGGGTTAAGGGCCTTTTTTAGGGGTTCTAGAGCTTTAGGGTTGAATGTGTCATCGGCAGGTCGCGTGCTGATAAGCGCGCTTTAGGTCGTGTTTAGTAAAGACATACCCACCCCGAGACCATCCATACACAACTCACGGCAAGCAAAAAACGAAGCTAGCCACCAAAATGACAATCGAAGCCATCAAACACGTATCATCCATCAGGTATGGAGTTGTCTGTAATGCCACGAGTCAGGAAATTTAAGACGTGGGCCACAGATTTACGCTCTAACGCTCACCCTGCACTTCAAACCCTCGAACTTAATCAAAGCCCGAAGACCTTTTGCAACTGGCTTGCAACGTCACGCCAGGACAGCTGACTCTAAACCCTAAACTCCGCAACCCTAAACCCCAAATCCAACCCCTAAAACCTCGAAGCGCCCTGCAATTCAAGGCGCGTTCCACACCGTCCCAGCCAGTCTTTTCCTGCGGAGTTCAAGCTTGGGGCCCTGGGGGTTTAGGGTTTTAGGGTGTAGCATTTAGGGTTTAGGGCTGTAGGGTTTTAGTGTGCAAGGCTTTAGGGTGTAGGGCTTAAGGTTGAAGACTTTAGGGTTTAGGGTTCAGGGGTCATCACTCCGACCCCTAAGCCCTGCCGAAGCCTCTTTGGCAGGGGCCTGAATAATTGGAACAAGGGTTGGGGTCTATTGTACAAAAAGTATACTAACTAATCAATAGGGAACCTTCGGGATAGCGTTTCTAATCACCCTTGGGGGGATCCTGGCGTGCTCGGCGATGCTGTCGGAGCTTTCCCGGAATACCTCTTGAACCAGGCTCGGAGTTTACTCAGAGCCAGATTGACGTGCTCCTTGATCTTCAGTTCTGGAATGCAACCCTAATATGAGCACGAAATTTTCCGAGATAAGCTGAATCGATAAGATCAAGGGCTGCATAGGCGCATCCGCTGCTCTTGTAACAAGATTGCAAGCTAGTAATATGTGTACTAGACGACACCGCTATACAAATGCGCAGGAAGCGCCAAAAAGCTGCTGCAGCTACAACAGACTGGAAAGAAAACACCATCTGACAATGGCGGTCGTCGTCCGAGAGAGAGCGACTGCGAGGCACAGCTCAGCGTGAAGATGGTGATCCCCGCGCTGCGAGCGTGACAAAAGTACGCCTCAGAGTAACGAAGACTGCCAGTAGTCGCGGCCAGCACAGCAGTCGAGATCCATGGCTGGAGCCGTTACGGGTCCGGCAACGCTCGCTGTGAGACCACCCCCACAGTGCAGCACTTTGAGTGGTCACCAAACCGGTCTGCGACGCCATCACAGAAGCGGCACGCAGAGTGAGAGTCCTCATCGGTCACGAGCAACCGCAACCGCATCCGAAGCAGGACTCGGAATAGCGGATCCTGGATGTGAAGGCCGAGGGCCTCACTGGGCGGAGCCTGGAGCCAAGCCCGTGCGTGTGGCTGCCGAAGGCGCAGGTGCGCCCTGAAGCTTTCTCTGCCTGGCCCGGGGACATCCAACCGCTGCCATGCGATCCAGGGCCCTGAAAAAGCTTCTGCTGTCGGCAGTGTGGCAGGGCTGGGAAAGTGAGATAGTCCGCCTGCAGAACCTGCTGGTTGTAGGCCGCCATCGCAGTCTCGGCACGGTAGTGCGGGTCCAGCGCGCGGCACAAAGACTGGGTCGCCAGGACGGGACGGAAGCCATGTAGGCAGGTCCTGCACGAAGGCTGACGTGGCGAAGGCCTAGCCCACGCCGCTGCAGTGCAGAGCCCAGCCATGTCCCACGCCTCTGCAGTAAGAGGGCCTGGCCCTAATTCCTCCAAGCAGTGCGGACCTCGGCCCCGGCAGAAGGACCTTTAATGTAGGAAACTCTTGGGGCTTAGAACATAAGCCGCCAAAAGCAGAATGCCCTATGCAGCGAAGCCTACGTAACACCTCTAGCTCTTATTTGCGATACCAGACGTGGGTCCAAACTGGGTTCTTGTTATGTTAGTGCCGGGTTCTTGTTATGTTAGTGCAGGGACGCACTGCAATTTCAATTAGTCAGAAAACAAACTTTGACTGCACATTCTCGTCAAGGTGCCCCTTTAACTCTTGCGAATTACACAACCCTGATACAACCCACAAAACTCTGTAAAAACCCTCTAAGTCCGAAGTGAAACCTTGAATGTAAGATCGTGAACAAGAGCCCAGCTGAACGAAAAGCTTGCCCAACCTGGCTGATGTACGCCATGGGCCGCCAACGGTAGACCCAGTAACCTGCTGTTGTGTGTTTGCAGTTTTAGTTTGCTTCTCGGTGGCCTGCTGTATTTTAAGGTATATGGTGTGATGGGCCTTGGGATTGCTAGGGCTTAGAGTATTCGAAATTCTGGGTTTGGGGCTCCAGGGTTCAAGGTTTCCGGGCCTTGGGTTCATGGGCAGAGCACCGTCTGTTCGAACAGCTTCGTTGCACGACTATGGCGCTTGAACAGGAGACCCTGTGTGCTGCCAGTCACTATCCGCTTCTGTCTGCCCTTCTCACGCGCAAGATCTCTCTCTTTCTGTCTCTGCCGTCCCGCTCCCTCCTGCAAGCCCCCGTGCCCAGGCGCCTTTGGCATCCACAACAACCGCAAAGACGTAGGGCTCGTCCCACAGGTTTTCGAAGCGCTGAGAGCCCTGCCTGAAATTGACAGCCGGATTGGAGGCCCAGAGACCAGGGTATCACACATGGGCCTGAACAAAAAGGTGTAGGTAGTGTAGTTGTTGTGGCAGTGGCAGTAGCACGGGTAATGACAGTGGTGGTGGCAGTGGTGGTGGCAGTAGTGGTGGTAGTCGTGGTTGCGGTAGTGGTAGTGGTAGTCGTGCTAGTGGCAGTTGTTGTAGTGGTAGTGGTCGTGGTCGTGGTGGCTGTAGCAGTACAGTAGTGGTAGTGGTAGTGGTAGTGGCAGTCGCAGTGGCAGTCGTGGTGGCGGTGGTGGTGGTGGTGGTGGGGGTGGGGGTGGTGGTGGTGGGGGTGGTGGTGGTGGTGGTGGTGGTGGTGGTGGAGTGGCAGTGGCAGTGGCAGGTAGTAGGAGTGGAAGTGGGAGTGGTAGTGGTAGTGGGAGTGGAAGTGGGAGTGGGAGTGGGAGTGGTTGGTAGCGATGGTGCTAGTGGTGGTTGCAGTAGTGGCAGCAGTCGTAATAGTGGTAATAAGTGGTAATACTAGTGGCGGTAGTGGTGGTAATAAATAGTAGGAGTAGCAGTTGCAGCGCGCGCAGCAGTAGTAGTAGGAATAGTAGTAGGAATAG